AAATAAATAGTTATGTTCATAATAAGTTCATTTGAATGAGGGCATAATTCTTACAATATTGCCTTATACAAATCAGCGGAGACGGGGCTATTTGATGTGAGTGGTGGCATTCACTAGTGTAAATCTATATAGTGTATAGTTGAAGTTGTGAAATTCATACAAGGATTTAAAGGGCTGCAGTCGTTGCGCTGCGCACGTGCGACATTTGTGTTGATAAACATTGATTTTCCCACAATCCAATGCACTCTTGTAATGAAAATCACAAGTATGAGATTTGGCCTTGGCGGGACTTGCGCTAATTACCGCTGGTGACTCCTTCAATACATTCCAATTACCTAAAAATCCCTAATTAAAGCTTCGTAACTTCAGTTTGTAGTCCTTGATGTGTCCAACAGTCAAAGTCGCCATCTTTGTTTACACAAGACCCATATATCTCGCGCATACTACCGCCCTTTAACCGAAGCTGAATTGCAATCACAGTCAAGGGAGCGCATTTTATCAAACTACGTTCAAAGGGAACTAATTCAAACCGCTTTACTGTGAAAACTATTCCACGCTAAAGGGGAAACTTCCAATCCCAGGGATTGCATCAAAAAATCATGGGACGCTATTGTTTATGTTGTTTACAAAATTAATCTATCTTTTGTTATCCATTGTCATTTTAATCCAAAAAGTAAATTTGTTGTGAGATTAGACTTAACTGGAAGTACCGTTGCTGTCAACATGGCAAGATTGTGATCTGCCAACAAAGTTGTCAAAATGTATATTCATGAAAGAATATGTTTTTATTCGTACACAATCGGCGTCCGACATGAATGGCATTCGCGCATGCGTGGAACTTGAATCCAGTTCCCAAGGTTGAACTCGTTTAATCAGTGACCTATACAGTCAACACAACACAATAGTACGGGTAGTCAATTGCAGTTATGGCCCTCCATATAGTCACAATCCCTCCATAAGGGGGGGGGGGGGGACTGTGATATAGTCCAATACAATCGGATACCATTAGTGTGTTCGAGCGATCCGACACACTCGCTTAGGGGGCCCAGGGTATGGGCGTTAAAACCCCGAATTGAAATGTCCGACATAATTTGATATCTGAACAGCTGATATCATGTTAAGAAGTAACCTCAGCACGGAAACATACACTAGCGTTCACAAAATAACGCGGCCTAATTATACCGTGTTTATACATTATCATACACTCCCACTGTTTTCAACTAAGGCAAACAGCGACAACAGCTCAGTGTAATATGCTAATTTATGATAGTGATATTCACAGCCGTTTTATGTTAATACATACCCGCACAGTGAAAGATCGTGTGTTCAGAAACACTGACAAATCTAACAAACGAGACACATTCAAGACGGTCGATAACAAGGTATAGATGAGAAGCGAAGAAAGAGGTGAAGGTCATGATAGCGCCACCAAAGAGGAAATTCGAAAAAAACTTTGTTTTCAATGACGCTTATTATTAAGTTAAAGTGCCTGTGCAATGCCCACTCTCACGTTAACTATTTTAGATCCGTGTCCTACTGAAGTGGACAGTTATTGATTTTTTTTTGTCAAAATGGTTACTCCTATCCAAGTAAATTTAAGATATATCTCGTGCTGTAGCCACGCCCACCTATCCTGAAACGGTCGACTGTTTCCGGATTTCCGACTCTCGCCGAAAGTGCGCCACCAAATGCCAAAATATGAGAGGAAGCCATACTCCTGAGCTGTACTTATATAACACTGCGTGATTCAACATACTTTTAAACGATATACATTTTTCGGTCGGCATTTCTTTTTTTGTCAATTTTTTTTTTTTTTTTTTTTGAGATAGAGAGTTCTTAGAAGTTGTTTTCAGAACAAATGTTTGTGATGGTTAAACGTTGTGTTGTGGACGGTTGTAGTAATACGTATAGTCATAGTGTAAGTATTCACACTTTTCCAAACGATCCGAAGGTGCGACGTCAGTAGACGAAAACCGTGAAAACAACGAGAAAAGGTTGGGGTGGACCTTCTCCTTACAGCGTCATATGTAGTGTCCACTTCACCTCAGATTCTTTTTTCGAAAAACTGTCTTCGGCCGTGAAAAAACAACTAGGTTTTAAAGAGAAGCGCCGACAACTTAAACCTGGCGCAATACCAACAATTTTGAAAGAAATAGATTCCGAACCAGCCCATGATCACCGAGGCGGATTTCAGAAGAGAGAGAGACGTCGGGTAA